GGAAAGTCAAAGGCAAAACTTGATTCCGAAAAGGATCGTTCACAACATCCGGGGGCTTAAGAGGAAGACGTCTCGTTGAACGGAATGGGCTTGAGGCGCGAGGCATGAATGTTTGTCAAAACTTGATGGTTCTTGAGAGCTTGAAGATCATAGCGATCGGAACCAACTTGACGAGTGATAACATAAACTTCATCAGGATAAGGACGTGCAAACTTGCCTTTGCGTTTGGCAGAATTGTGAGGTGCTTCAACAAGGACAAGGGAACCAACTGAAAAGGGTGGACGATGTCGAGAGTTGTTCATGGATGTGGCATTGTCGGCTTGTGTACGTTGATTGGCGAGTTGAACTATGGCACGAGCACGAGATAGATACAAGTCGGTAGTTTGACGATAAGTGCTTGATGAGATATCTTGAGGAGTGAAATCAACTTGACCAACGAGGCGAGCTTCACGACCATGGACCAAAGAAAAAGGAGTAAACCCGGTGGAGGCATGAATAGAAGAATTGTAAGCAAGTTGAAATTCTGGTAAGTGCTTATCCCAAACATCTGAAAGGTGATCTTGTTCCATATACGACAGAAGCATACTCTTGAGGGTTGACATGAAGCGTTCAACAAGCCCATTGGATTGTGGATGATAGGCAGGGGCGTATTGCTGTTTGATGCCAAGCTTCATGCAAAGGACTTGCAACATGGATGCTGAGTAAGTAGGACCATTGTCGGAAAGCATAACGCGAGGGAAGCCATGTTCACTGAATAGATGGATCAATGTCTTGGAAACAGTGTCAGTATTGCATACTGCAACAGGAGTGATGATGACATAGCGTGAGAACATGCATTGGATGACAATGATATACTTATTGCCAGCTTGGGATTGCGCAAGAGGACCAAAGGTGTCGATGGCGATTGTGTCGAATGGTTGCAAAGGAGGATTGGATCGAATCAGGTTTGTGTGACCAAAGGGCTTTCTTGAAGTCTTGGTACGAATACAAATAGGGCACTTGCGGATCTGTTCAGCAACAAATGAGCGCATATCCGGAAACCAATACAAACGTTGAAAGCGTTGCAGTGTGCGAGACAAGCCTAAATGGCGGAAGTGGGGTGTTCATGCAAAAGCTTGAAGATGTCAGGGCGTAAAGCAGCAGGTAACACAGGGCGGGTGCCGAAAAAGAGGATACCAGACTCTTGAGAAAAACCACGAGGCAAGGGATTGGCAAGAGTGGAGCAACAAAAGGGATCTTGTGATTGAGCAGTGGAAAGATCATTGGTAGAAAGGCCACAAAGTTGCATGGATTGCACAAAGGAGGAAGAAGATGTAGGAGACAAGCAGGCAATATCAGGCAAAGGAAAGCGGCTAAGAGCATCAGGACCAGTGTTGACACGACCAGGGCGATAAATGATTTTGAAGGAATGTTGTTGAAGAAAAAGAGCCCAACGAGCAAGTCGGCCACGAAGATCAGCTGAACGAGGAAGAAATTGCAAAGCCTGATGATCAGTAACAACAATAAAGGACGTGCCTGTAAGATAATGGGCAAACTTTTTGATTCCCCAAACAACAGCAAGGGCTTCAAGTTCGGTAACACCATAATTCTTTTCAGCAGAGGAAAGGGATCTTGAAGCATAGGCAACGGCATAGACGCGATTATTTGATGGATCACGTTGGCAAAGCATGACACCAATACCAGCGGTACAAGCACCATCGGTATGAAGTTCAAAGGGGCGAGAAAAATCAGGATAGCGAAGAACAGGAGCTGAAGTGAGAGCTGACTTGAGGGATTGGAAAGCTTGTTCTTGATCCGTAGACCATTGCCATGGAGCATCTTTCTGTAAAAGAAAATTGGGAGGAGCAGCAATAGAAGAAAAACCTCGAATAAAAGAGCGGTAATATCCAGCCAAACCAAGGAAGGAACGTAAGGTGTCTTGAGTAGTAGGGCGTGGAAAGGATGAAACGGCTTTGATTTTGGCAGGATCAGTCTTGAGACCCGTGGGGGTGATGAGATAACCAAGGTAAGAAATTTCACGGCTTGCGAAATGGCACTTCTTGAGGTTGACACTGAGGTTGGCTTGACGAAGGCGAGAAAAGACACGACGAAGATCATTGAGGTGTTGAGAAAAGGAAGAAGAGAAAATGATAATATCGTCAAGATACACGAGACAAATTTGCCATTTCAAACCTGCAAGAACGGAGTCGACAAGACGTTGCATTGTGGAAGGAGCATTGCATAGGCCAAAACTCATACGAACGAATTCAAAGAGACCACGGCGGCACACAAAAGCGGATTTGGGTTTGCTTGCATCATCCAATTCGATTTGCCAGTAGCTGGAGGTGAGATCGAGAGTTGAGAATACCCGAGAAGAACCAAGGCTGTGAAGAGTGTCATCGATGCGAGGGAATGGATACACATCACGAGTGGTAACAGCATTCAATTTCCTATAGTCAACACAAAAGCGTGGGGTACCATCCTTCTTGCGAACTAGCACAACAGGAGAAGACCATGGTGAATGACTAGGACGAATAATACCTTGTTCCAACATTTCATCAATGAGGTCGTTAATCAAGTCATTCTCGGCGGCGGAAGCGCGATGAGGAGCAGATGCAATGGGACGAGCTGTACCAGCGTCGATATGATGTTGAATGGCATGTGTTGTGGAAGAGGCTGTAGGTTGAAAGCAATCGGCAAAAGCGGTAAGGACTTGTTGAAGAGCGATACGATCGGTGGTGGAAACAGAGGAGTCGATGACTTTGTCGAAATCAGAAGCGGAAGGTGATGATGTTGAATGAGATTGTGAGGGAGTCGAGATTGCATGAATCGAATTTGGTTCGAGAAACTCAGCGGCAGCAATGATTTGAGAAGGTTGTAGCTGTGTAGCTTGAGCAGCAAGATTAGCGATCTTAACAACAGCAGTACCTGAAGATGAGAATTGGACAAAACCAGCAGCGATAGCACATAGTTGTCGAGCAACTTGATCTGATGGCGTGGTGAGATAGGCTGTTGTATTGGAAGGTCCAGCGACATCAATGTAGGCGTGAGAGTGAGCAGGCATCTTGAGTTGGTTGATGACACGAATTGGAGACGGTCTAGAGACAATACGATCATTCGAAGGAGGCATGAAAGAGATACTATCTTCGCCGGCATGGATGACAGCATTGAGTGAGCGAAGGATTGGATAGCCAAGGATGACATCGTGTGAAAGTTCATGGATGACATGGAATGTCACCTCGATGGGAGTGCTAGCAACAATGATACGAGTAGTAACAGTGCCCAAGAAAGAAGTAACCTTACCATCTGCTGTTGTAAACGAAACGGCAGAGTGGTGCTCGATGTTGAGATCAAGGGATTTGGCAAGGTTGGCTGACATGGCCGATATACTGGCACCTGTATCAATCAATGCTTGTACTGATTGATGTTGAATGGTGCATGAGACACGGGGACCCGAATAGGAGACACCAGGAACCGAGAGCTTGCTGAGTGCACAAATAATGTGCGACGTTTCTTCTTGTTGATTGGTGGTTGCAGGAGGCTGAGGCGAGTTGCTGGGAGTTGAGGTTGATTGTTGCAAGGAGAGAGCATTCACTTGTTTCTTGTTCTGGCAGCTTTTCGTGAGGTGACCCTGTTGGTTGCAATGCCCACAAAGTGGAACACCATGAGCAGCCCAACGACGCATTGGATCTACAGGCTTATTTTGCGAGCGTTGACGAGTGCCACGATTACCTGTATTGTTGCGTTGTCGTGAGTGATAATGGGCATTGGTGCAGTACTGTCGTTGGTGGTGGTTGATGGCATCTATTTCCATAGGATCGTTCTTGACTTGCATCGGGGGGTCGATTTGGAAGGCACCATGGCTGGAGGGCGTCTTGTCTTCATGTTTTCTAGAGAGGCGATCCTCATGAAAGACTGCACGTTCATATACCTGGGTCCAATCAGACAAGCCAAAGAGAAGTGGTGACACCAACTCCTTGAGTCGAGGATTGAGATTCGCATGGAAGATATCAAGAAGTCGAGCAGCAGAGGGGGCATGACCAGAAGGAAATGAATTGACCAAGGTTTCGAACTTGACACGAAAGAGACGGATGGGCATAGTATCCTGTTTGAGAGCTTGGAGTTCTTTACGAAGACGATTGGCATCAGCTGCCGGATCAACGCCATATGTGCTTTGCAACAAGGAACACAAGGTGTCGAAGTCTTGGGATGTGGTGGCATAGTAGAGCCAGTCTGCAATTTGGCGAGGTAAGTAGTATGCAAGATAGCGGCTTTTGGCAGCGTCATTCATAGCGATATCATTAGCAGCATCAATATACTTTTTAACCAGCGGTGGATGTTCATCTGGCCAGGATTGAAACGTGGGATAAGTAGGTTTTTGGCTTCGGAGGCAAAGTAGAGGTTGAGTAGAGCATTGCTTGTGTCAGCAGGAGACACCAAGGCTGGAGCGTGTTTGCTTTGAGCAGCGCCAGACATGATAGCAGTAGGTTAGATGTAGAGGTATGGGGGATCGAAAGAGAGCTTCTCCACCATGTAATAAACGAGCGGGATTAGATAATGACTTAGCCAAGAATGGAAGGAATTCAAGACTAAGGAAGATGAGAGTAGATCAAGATATTACACTGAATATAAGATGATGGTTTATTACTGCAAGAGAAGGGTTTAAATAGCTTATAGAAAATATAGC